ATATAAAAATAAATAAGTTTCACTACTTGTGTAAACCTGGATCTATAATTGGAAAAACTGTTCTAAATTTAATACTTGTGATGCCACATGACTATTTTCATGTCACTTTCTAATCATGGGAGAGAAGTTGTCAAAAAAGCAGCTGAACCAAAAATATACATCCCACTTAGTGCTTTGTGTTCCTTGCCACACATAGAGAGAGAGAGAGAGCGAGAAAGACAGGTGCTGTGTGTGTGTGTGTGTGTGTGTGTGTGTGTGTGTGTGTGTGAAAGAGAGAGAGAGAGAGAGAGAGAGAAAGAGAAACAGAGGAAGTGTTTCAGTGATCCCTGTTCTCACAACAGAGATCTTTGTCTCTTAATCATGGCTTTTCAGGGTAATATTTCATAATTTGCAGGTGTGTTTTCTATATGCACTGAGACATATGGGAGAACACTGTAAAAACTGCAGTTAAATTTTTAAATTTCAAAGTTATATCACAAAAGTCTCAGACAAATTTACTACTTTTGTCTGTTCCTCTCTTTAATGCTTATGATTTCCTCCCCATTTCATAGTCGACCACAAAACATCCCCCCTTAAACCACTATAAAACCCTATAAACCCCAGAGTCTCATTCTCTCTTACTCCCTTATATTCTTTCCCCTTTTAGTGGTCTAAGTCCAATCTACGTCCCAAGCCCCCTTCCTCTCCTCCTAAAGTTCTTTCAGTTGCCACTCCAGTCTTATCCTCTCCCTCCCGTTCTGCTCCGTGCGGTTGTGTTTTATGGCGGCTGTTTAGACCCGTCTAATTCAAAAGCTGTGTAACTGCCTGATGCTGCCCGTCCAGCATCCTCACCCTGCTCTGCATAATTCACGGAGGAAAGAGCATGGTCTGTCTCTCAAACAAGCAGGCAGACAGGCACATACAAATGCATGCGAACATGGGGCATGCACACACTCTCGCAAACACAAGAGCAAGTGCATAGTCAGATGTCGACCCACCATCACGCTTTGCCTCACACAGCCTTGTGTGGCCTTACAACAGGGACAGTTACATAAAGAGAATATTTTCGGGTCCTTGCCTACTTCAAAGAGGTACAACGTCACTGTGCCACAACAAATCTCATGACCATACATCAATAGAGCAGAGAGAGGAGCAGACTAATGGCTTCCTTGTTACATTTGATTCTTCCATTTTTTTAATGCCAATTTCTGTTGTTGTTGTTGTTGTTGTTGTTG